TTCTTGATTTAAGAATATTTAGATATTTTGGCTAGAAACAAGACAAAAAAATCTAAGTAAGAAAAGCAATTTTTGCAGTGTGGTCAACACTGCATTGGTGAACTGAGGATTTCTCTGAAAAGTCGTTCACACACACACAGACACACACACACATAAAGAATTCCCGGGCAACCCATGCAGAATGCTTGTTTATTCAATTTTCATGTTGTTGAGTGCTAAAAAGGCAACTTTTCTATCACTTTTTCACACACACTCTTTCCACATCATGTAAGAGGATGCCCTGTTTTTATAATCCCAGTATTAACAAGAATCTCATGATAACCTATGCTAATACCTTCAAGACCATGAACTACAGCCAATAACATTACTGAATTACTTGGTAACTAGGTGTCTCAAAGATGGTCAAATGTTCTTAAAATTTATGTGAAAACATGAAATGGCTGCTGCCTGGTTGTAATTATTAACCCATCAATACAGCGCTTAGTCAGAATAGTTTAGTGTTAGATGAACAGATGAGCCTATTCACATCTCAAAGTAAATAGGTTCATAATGCTCTGAGCCAACTCACACAATTAAATCTAAGAATTCACGAGGGAAGGGAAAAAATAAACAGGTTTAAAATAGACAGGGAACATCAACAGAAGCACATGACAAGCTCAATTTTTAAATATTTCAGCAAGGACTTCCAAGTGAGCTATTTTCAGCTTCAATTCATAATTTAATGCTCACGTTTTTTCCTCCCAGAAACCTTGAAACCTTCCTCATACTAAGAAAAAAGGAAAGAAACCAGAAAAGATGATCCAATGTGTGTCTTTTCAACAAACCGATCTTAGTAAGACACATTATCTTTTTATAAGGACTTTCTTCTGCAGCCAAGCTACTGTTCTGAGGGAGTCTGGTAAGAAGCTGTCCTTAACAACTGAACCAGTTTCATAAGTCTAGAAGGAAAAATGGCTGCCATTCTTACACTCAGCTTTATTACAGTGGAAAGAAACAATGAGGACTAGCACATTTTGCTACAATTATGCAAATTAAACATACAGTTTATGTGGAATCTAAAAAAATCATTGGCTTGGAATATGCTTGTCAGACTGCTCAAGATTAAAATGTGCTCTTCTCTCTACCACCGATTCAATTGCTTATTTTGTGTACATTAGGCCATGTCATATTAATTTCATATTTGTACATCTCCATCTTCATCTTTTATACAAAGCCCTGTTTTTCTGCTTTACCTGTTGCCTTTGTTGTAGTGGGTTGATCTGGCCTACCTATGACCTCTGTTGTGGTCTGTGTGGCTGCAATTATTCTTCATTGTATCTCGGCTCTGAGGGCCTATCTGATCCTAACCTTTGAATAATCCTAAAGCCTCTTTTTTGGGGGGGTTCTCTGAATGGAGCACATGTGGTATTTATTCCCTTCATTTCGGTTTTGCAGAGCCCACAAACTCACAGCCAACATTACTGCAAGCTATAGATGCAGGGTTTAGAAGCAAGACACTGTTCTGGACGAGGTGTTCAGAGGAGAACAGCTCTCCAGAGCTACAGGTCTTTAAAGGGGACATTTTACAATAAGTCCTGCTATGTCTACATGATTTTGTTTTTTCTGAATAAATACACAATTTAGGCTCATTGGAAAAACATGCTTGTGGTGACATTTCTGAAAAAAAAATTTATGTTGCATGATTTGCGACACTTTCAAATTGAAATGCTCAATAAGTGGCACTAAAATTGCGTTCAATTTTCTCACAAACAGGAGAACGTGAACACCTTGGTGTTTTATTGTGTTGCTTATTGTACATAATTGTGGCAGTTTGTAAACAAATTGTCTGTTGGTTGGCAATAAAAGGTTACTTTTCTATGGAGTTGAAAATAGCATACCACCTACACTAAACCTAACCGCTACAGTTAACAAAAGCAACTGTAAGATAACTAATTTGCTGAAGAAACTGCTATTTTAGCTTGTCTCTACAAGTCTACAAGTTGAGCCCTTTTATCAGGGCATAGCTTTTTTGAAGTTTTGCCAAAAACGTTGGTAGATGCACATTTTCCAATATGCCTAAATTTAAGAAATTTCCAGTTTCAGTGGGTTCATTTTTTTTAAAGGAGGAAGTTCCAAGAACAATCTCGAAAGGAGTTCTGAAGAGGAAGTAGAGGTTTTTCTGTAGAGGTCTGAGTTGGAACAGATTTTAAGTGAAATAGATGTCTGAAATATATTCATTTTAGTTATGCTTGTGATTAAGCTTTCAGCGCTTTTATCTTAACTCTGCATATTCATATACAAATGTGTGTGATCATGTAGCATGTGATGGCACATGCATACGTGACCTGAACAGGTGCTGCATTCACACATCTCCTCTCAATGATTAGCTCTGACCTGTTGTCAAGGCTGCCTGAAACAGAATCAGCAGCTTGATTACAGCATTTTATCTGTCCCAGCTGGCCTGTTCTCAGCTAAGATTGAGATAACCCTAGCTACCGATCAAAAAATATACCAATATAATATCTCAGACCAGCATTTCATCAAATACTGACGCTGACTACAAAAGCCAAAAAGAAAATAAATCAATAAATAAAAACACAGAATGTTAACTATCATCTAAATCATATAAATCAACTACCAACTTACAATGAAAAATAACACAAAGTCATGGAGGGGTCCCTCAGGAGTTAGTAGTCACATTTCTCTACTAAATATCAATGGGCATAATGGATTTAACTGGTTAAAATTAAGCATAATTGAGAAAATGTGTGTGCTCTGTGTCATCTACAAGTGGCACTGTTTCACAAATTGCATACTGCCGGATTAGGTGCTACATTTGATGAAAAACATTGAAAAAGAAGATAGTATGTGGCCTCTTCATGGCCTCATGGGATAGTAAAGTGTCAATCGAATACACACATCAAAATCTGGGTGTTTTTCACCTACTGTTTTTGTATTTGAATATAGTACTCTTTTGGCATACTATATAGCAGTGGTTCCCAACCCTGGTCCTGGAGGCACCCCAACACTGCACATTTGGCATGTCTCCTTTTTTTCACACACCAGTTTCAGGTCTTGGAGTCTCTACTAATAGCTGATGACCTGAATCAGGTGTGTTTGATTAAGGAGACACGCAAAACATGCAGTGTTGGGGTGCCTCAAGGACCAGGGTTGGGAAGCACTGCTATATAGTATAGAACTAGGTATATTTGGATGCAGTGTGACTACTAAGATTTAAATATGTAATACAATATGGCCCTGAGGGTGATTTTTCACCTATATGAACTACTATAATTTTGAATTTACTTTGGTTTATAATAGTCCTAACTATTTAGGCCTAAAACAGGGAAATTGTTTCAGAACACACTTTAGTGTACATACTGTCATTTTAGCAAACTTCTAATCATATTTAATATATTTTAATCAGATTTTCACTATGATTGAAAAGGATAGTTCCCCTAAAAATGAAAATTGTGTCATCCTTGAGTTACAAACCTGTATGAGTTTCTTTCTTCTGCTGAACACAAAGAAAATATTTTGTGGAATGTGGGTGAGAGTTACTGGTAGCCAGTGCCATCCATAGTAATTTTCCTCATTCTATAGAAGTTTGTGATTGGTTACCAACATTCATCAAAATATCTTCTTTTGTGTTTAGCAGAAGAAACTCATATAGTTTGGAACAACTTGAGGGTGGGTAAATGATGACAGAATTTTCATTTCTGGGTGAACTGTACCTTTAATGGTGAAGAGAACACCACATTTCAAAGAGCACATGCAGGATTCATTAAGATTACAGTAAATCTGTATCCATATTTTTCACATCTGTGTGCCTTTACTACACTGTGAACTTTAGAGTGGGTGACATATGGACAAACATATATTGAGACAAACGTTCATTTTGAACTATGCTGCTCCTCTCAGCACGTTCACTATTGAAATACCCCACTGCCACACATTTCTAGATGTGGCTGGTGAGTCGTGATGCAGTGGCGCCTATGACTCAATCATCTCATGGTCAAAGCTATAGATTACTATTTCCGTTGCAGATTAGTCGTCATAGGGGGGGGAAATTACATAACCTTACATAACCAATTTTCTATCACGTCATTTCCGTCTGAAGAGTAACTGTGAGGGAATACGCGAAACGCAAGAGCCATCACTAGCGCTCGACGGCAGGTCCTTCTTCAAATCATTCATGCCGACGAGAGGGAGAGGGTGCTTGTCACATGAGAAGAAATTGTATTTTAGATCTACAGTCGCAACTTTTAGTGATCCATGTATAAAGATACACATTTTTAGTTTGTAGTCGTCCTCACATGCATCGGCTGAGCCACGCGAAATAATCGCGAGCCAATCACGAACCACACCCCGGGTGTAAAGCGGCGAGAGACTGTATTTCTTTTCCAGATTGTGAATATCTTATATTGTCCACAGACATAAAACAGACGTTTTCGCTTCCCTGTTGTTCAAACTATACGTGTTTTTTCTTCACACACCAGCGCGCAAGCCTAATACAATAGCCCTTCGCCAAGTTAACATTCGCTCTGTGTTTCACCATATAAAAGTGTTTAGGCGCTTGCTTAAGGGTGAAGAGCACCTTGTGTTGCCCCCGGAGGTGCATCGGGTGGAGTGGGGTGACACGCAGTTGCGAAGTATGATTCATCCTCGCGCTCTGTCACGCCCCATCTCCCCGTCTGCTTTCCATGGTGCACCTGTAACTCGCCTGACCTCAAATCTATCTAATTTCTACTTACACACTGCTGTTAAAACTAAGCTATGCAAAGCTCATCTGTTACATAGACTCCTGCTTTCCATGCAGTAGAGGCCACTGCAACTAGACGTTTTTATCCAGCAAAGGACACTTGAAGACTCACGCGTTCGTAAACTGCAAAACCACTACGATTTTAGGGAGTTATTAATCACACGTTACGGGTAGTGAAAGGTCCTGAAGCTGTGACTCAAAGGAAAGGAAAGTGTCGAAAACGTCTGTGGATGCACAAAGGAAATCGTCCAGCCCTTACTTTAGCATGGCTTGTTCTTTATCCTCTTCCTCCCTTTGCCGAACCATCACTGCCATGATGGTTTTCCTTTCCTCCTCCGTGAGGTGACTCAAGTCCGGCATATCAGGCATGGGAGCCGGCACGGTGGGTGGGCGAGGGCCGCTTTGGGGCCCTACCGAGGCGGACATCTTTTGCCCCGCTCCCAGGCGTATCTATTGGCAGTATCCCGAGCGCAGGAGCCACACCTCACGACATGGTCCACGGATAGAGCAGCGGTCTTTGTGAATAGTGCAAATCTCGCATGGTTTCAGACACCCACAACTGTGCTTTTGTTTCTCTTCGTGCTTTTTTTTTCAACCCACCCCTCCTCTTTTATCGCTACCCCCACCCCCGCCTCTCCCCTCCACCTCCAGTTACGGGAAGCCCATCATCTCTACGCCCGGAGACGACGCAAACAGGGGGACCCCGGCATTAGCTAGCAGATCTGTGATTTCCCCCTTCACTGAACCGGGGGCTCGGTATTGGGCGACGGCAAAGGCGGAGTCCGTCTCTCGCCCACTGATCTCTCTCTCTTTTTCGTCGCTCTCAGATTAAAAAAGAAGAGTCAATGGAAATGCAAATCCGCGAGAGCGTATACCACTCTCACCCACCGACCGCACGCTTACTCATATGTGAAATTAGCAAAAAAGCACCTATATGAGAGTCATACCCCACTTTCCTTTTTCATATCAGTGTGTGTGCTCGACCGCGCACACCTTGTTCGCGTCTCTGTATTATCTGGTAATAGTTCAGTGCGCGCTCTCGTCAGGCTATTTTTAGAATCGCTCCCACGCATCTCTTAAATACAATAAATTCGTCTGTTTTGTCTGCCTGAGGGATGTCTGTAATGAAATTATCCGCGAAAGTGCACGCGAATGTGTGCATGACATAAATCATCTCTAGACATCTTTAAAAATATAGTAGGCTACTGGAGCCCAGATGGTCTGTATAACTGTAAAATTGAATGCATAGTCGAGTTGAACCCAGGTTTTGAGAATAAAAAGAAAATCCAACAGTAATACAGTTTATACGATTAGTTATTTCGTAAAGTGGAGATGATTTACATGTAACTAGTGCAAACTGTAGTTGTTTTCAGAACCCTGGACAGCGACACGAGACGCAGAACACAGTCACTCATTTCACTACACTGTAAAAAAGTGTTAGCGTGCAATTAAGTTGTTGTTTTTTGAATCATGACTGTTTACTTTTATCTTTTGACTTCTTTTTGCATCACTGAATCTTTATTTTCCTGTGTATCATTGTAACGCTGCTTTGAAACAATCTGTATTGTAGCTACAAATTGCTATATAAGATGACCTGACTTTTTTTCCATGGACAGTGAAAGGAGAAATCTTTGTAGAATCTTTATATAACCCTTTATCATACATAGAAGACAGTTCATAGTTACCACATCTGTCAAGCTCCAAAAGACTGCCAAAAATCTGGACTGTTCTTCAAATCGCTACTCAGCATGTCAGTGCCTTGGGCCAAGTTTGACATCACTGATGACCAGTGTTGGGGAAAGTTACTTTTAAAAGTAATGCATTACAATATTGGGTTACTCCATAAAAAAGTAACTAATTACGTTACTTAGTTACTTGTTATGGAAAGTAATGCGTTACGTTACTTTTGCGTTACTTTTTAAATCTGGACAGGGCTTGCTTGTTTGATTTTAAAATAAAAAAGTTATATTTTTGGCAAATATAAAAGCCTTTTCACAGCAAAAGTGAAATGAATAAGCCTCAGGATGAAGGGAAAGTAAATTTACGTCAGTGCAGAAGAATGCAGAAGAAGAAATTTCAACACACTTCAGCAATAAAAAAAGACACACAAATGTTTGTCTAGAGTAATTTGTGCTTATTAGTACGGTTGAACTGGATCATCGAAGGTCAGAAGCAAAGACATTGGTTAATAGAATGGGATTAAATACATAAAGGATATTTCTGTTGTTTAACATTTAATTATTGCAGGTTCGCGTCATATTCTGAGTTGCATTATTTTTATTCATTTTGAGGAATACTGAATCTGTGTTTTTGTTTTTTTGTGAGTGAGATGAATTAACGCATATTCATATTTATTTTGAACTACAGTAACATCTTCTGATTTCTCTCAACATGGGGACAGGAGAGCTGTCAATCAATAAATTGGGGAAAAAAGTAACTTGCGTTACTTATTTGAAAAAGTAACTCAGATATTCTCTTGTAAATTAAAAAGTAATGCGTTACTTTACTAGTTACTTGAAAAAAGTAATCTGATTACGTAACTCGCGTTACTTGTAATGCGTTACCCCCAACACTGCTGATGACACCACGTCATTGATTTTCACATGGTGCGGTTACTGCACATGATGCAGCAGTTTTAATATGTAGAATGATATTTGAGAACTGTCATGAAAGAAAAAAGTTTTCCATGAATAACGACTTATATTTCAGCCTCAGTAGAGAGCTATCATATGGACTTTAAAAATAGCGCACACATACTATGGACATTTCAGGGTGGGAAATTAACTCGCACCACCTGCAAAGTTCAGGTAGGTTTTTTTTTATTATCTAGTATTAGTTATTTCATTGTTATTACAATGGCAGATTATTTTTCTCAAATTGACCTTTTTGTTATTTGAATATGTTCAATGAGGTAAATTTGTAATGCTTATGCCTGCACACAAAAAGTCAGTAAGCAGCCACTGTTATGATTGGCCAATGTCAGTATTGCGCTTAAGTAAATGTTTTTGAAAACAGCCAAATTTATGAAACTGTTTACTCACGATTGGTTTGCGATGCAGCTGCTGTCAGATTCAGTACCATAGATGGTATAGATGGTTGCTTCACCTTTTAACAAAAGTTTCTTTGCATACACTTCATTACACTGTGCTTCATTTACAAAACAATATGCAGCCAAATGCTCTGAACAAACATCTAATCCTCTAACACAACGCGGAATTTACCTGGGTTTTTACCCGGGAAAGTTTGGGTTTAGTTTGAGCAGACTCTGAGTTTTCGGGTTCAAGAATGTGAGTTGGTTTTGAGCGGGCTTCGTCACCATAGTAAGTTATGCTACATGGCAAACTGTTGCCGTGGGTTGTTCACTTTTCATAGGTTGTTTTTCATGTCCGCGGGTTGAAGCGACCTCAGACCCTGGAAGGCGAATTTACCAAGGGAAACAACATGTATTTTACCCCCCTGAAAGCGATTTTTAATGGGGTACCCCCTCGAAACGCCATTGGGCTAGTTTTGAGTAGCAAATGGGCGGGTTATGTTGTGAAAATCTGGCAACCCTAGTTGTGAACCCACTCCTGCTCTATCCGGGTTGGATTTGTTTGGTACTCTGGATTTGTTTGGTAACCCAGCCGGCTTCATGCAACAGGTCACTCGAAACAGTCAAAATTGTTTTTGTTTTTTTTATTGAATCACTCAACATTTTACACCCCAGAGGATGAAGACAAGAAAAAAAGATTACAATGAAGAAAATTCGACGAAGAAATGGAAATGTTTACATAATACACTTAACAGCTTTCTGATTTCAAAATTAGAAACAAATGCAAATAAAATAAATTATGCAAATATATTCGCCCATGTGACGTCACATATCCCACAATATCCAAGCGAGACATTTTCTGAACTTAGTTAAATGCTTTATATAGCCTTTAACGGGGAGGACAATTTAAGTGAAACCTACAGGATGTTGAAAAATGCAGATGTTTCAGAAACTCTTTGGCATTCGATTCGATTACGTTCTTGAGGATTGCAACCAGAGCAGTAAACACACATGCTAGTGCTTCAAATACTCAAATATGAAAAATTCACACACTCATGGCTGAAGGGTGTGGTGAGGGCAAAGCATACCCTGATGACTGTTATGGTGTATAACAAAGAGTGCAAGGCTGACAACAATTTGCTACACATAGCTACTTTACATTTGCTAAGTATAGTAGGTGTATGTTAGTATATGGAACACAATCGTATTGTGTCTACTTCTTTATAAGAATGTCAATTCGTTTAAAATAACAAGTAGCCTAGCTGTGGAAAAGGATGGTTATTGTTTCTTATTGTTCTTCACAAGGTGTCACTCTCTTCTATACTGCTCAATGAAATATTGTATCCGAATAGCAAAATAAACATTACATAAATACAGCAGTTATATACACTCAAGTGCACTTCTAAATGACAACAAGAACTAACGCAGCGTAGCACCAGCAGAATTAAAAAAAAAAGTTACTTGCGCCCTCTGTTGATGGGACACGGCATTACACAGAAATATACCCCGAGGCTAGTTGTCATCTTGTACTCCATTTAATATATATATATATTTTTTTGTCCGTTCATGTTAAATTTACAAAACCTGTAGCTGTGGTTGCCAGGAGATTACCGTGGCAAAAATACAATGGCAATGTTATAATTATGAGATGATATTTTGTATCATTTGCGTTTCTAACACAATATGAGAAAAATTGTAGCGCTCCAAATAGGAAAAAATACATAATTTTACTGCAGGTGCGTAGCGCCAAAGGAATAATTGAAAACGAACAAGGGAGCGAACAAGCACACTGAATTTAATTCAGGCTGAAAAGTCCAGCAAAACATTTTTTATTTAATTATTATTTTTTCTCCATTGTTTATTTATTTCACATGTTGGAGCAGTATAGTCGTAATATTCTATGGTGGTGAGGGTGTGTAAACCTTTTTGAATCCATTACCCAGATTGGCATGCGAGTCATTGAAGCAGCACTGGAGACCACTAAAGGCCATAATGTATGTTTAGGGTTACTTTATTTAAGTCATCACTTTAAAAAAAAAATTTTGACATGTACATACATGTATAAAGTAAAAATAGCCAGCAACACTTTAGAAGACAGACATGCATTCTAAATTGTGGACTTGACACACAACTCAAAAATACATCCATTTGCGATGAAATACCACAATGGCCAAGTTTCATACAAACATGTAGCAAATTTGAAAGAAAAAAATAGACATTGACATTTAACTGTAGACATACAAAACAATCTCATTTTCATATTAGATTCAAATAAGCGCTCTTTAGATTCAAAAAAAATTTTCCAGACGGATTTTACTGCAATCTTCTGGATGTCGTGTTGCAATACTGTTGCGAAGAAGCATTTCTGTGTATGGTGGCCAGAAAGTGTCATCAGTAGTCACATAAGGGTCATGAGGAGTTTCTAATGTTTTATTGGTCAATCTCTGCAATAAAAAGATAAATGTGCATGACTAAATGTCTTAAATAAATAGGGTTAGTAAAAAAAGCACTTTGTATTAGGAAACAATTTATTTTCCACTCTATTATTTCAAATTTTCTTCCAGGTAAGATGATTAAACACAAAGTAACCATATAAAAAAAGAGATTTTATTGTGATGGGTCTCTGAACATACCTCGATAATCTCACTCAGTGAAATCAGGTTAATCTCTGCATCATATGCAGCAGCCTGAAAAATACAAATCCAATATTCATAAGTAACAACCTAAAAAAAAATCTAAATCCAATATTCTCTGATCTAATTGAGAGGGTGAAGGTGGCACCTACTCTTTTTTTCTTTGTGCCGTTTCC